TATTCAGGACTGTATGGACATAACCTAGACCCAGAGGCACTTAAGGATGAAATGAGCAATTTCTGAAAACAGCTGGCAATTTCATGTAACTTATTTCTTAAAATGCTTGAAAATTGTTCAAATTTGTCCTAACAAACATCTTGTAGACACCCTAGTTATAATTAGTTGGGAACAAGTTCTGTGTAAAAATCTGATAAAACAACCATTTCAATGAACATTTTCCAGAAATGACTTTTCATTCTTAGAACTGATTTGGTATTATATCTTTGGGTAAGTGGACACATGTTCCCACCCCCACCCCACTAGACTTCCAAATCACAGCATACCTACAAGGGTGTATCCCCCCAAAAAGAAATTTTTCTCAAAGCTATATATTTAATTTTTTTTTACAAAACAGCCTTATCATGTTCAAAGTACTCTCCATTATACTTAATACATTTGTCAAATCTTTGATTCCATTCTTGGAAACATTGTTTTTTAATCATATTATTGGGGGCTCGTACAGCTCTTGTCACAATCCATGGATACATCCATTGTGTCAAGCACATTTGTACATTTGTTGTCATCATCATTCTCAAAACATTTGCTTTCTACTTGAGCACTTAGTATCAGCTCATTTTTCCCCCTCCCTCCCTACCCCCTCCCTCATGAACCCTTGATAATTTATAAATTATTATTTTGTCATATCATATACTGTTGGCGTCTCCCTTCACCCACTGTTCTTTTGTCCATCCCACAGGTAGGAGATTATATGTAGATCCTTGTAATCGGTTCCCCCTTTCTACCCTACCCTCCCTCCAGGTTCCCCCTTTCCACCCCACCCTTCCTCCACCCTCCCGGTATCGCCACTCTCATGACTGGTCATGAAGGGATCATCTGTCCTGGATTCCCTGTGTTTTCAGTTCCTATCTGTACGAGCGTACATCCTCTGATTTAGCCACATTTGTAAGGTAGAATTGGGATCATGATAGTGGTGGGGGAGGAAGCATTTAGGAACTAAAGGAAAGTTGTATGTTTCAACATTGTTACACAGCACCCTGACTGGCTCGTCTGGAAACATTTTTCAAACTCATCTGTTTGAATGGCTGACAGCATTTCCCTCCTTTTTTTCTTCACCTCTTCTACTTCATCAAATTTCTGTGCTTTCATGTCACTCTTCATTCATGAAAACAAAAAGAAGTTGCATGGAGTGAGGTCCGGTGAGTAAGGTGTATGGAGCAAGAGAGGCATGCTGATTTTTGCCAAAATCTGGCACACTGAGATGGCTGTGTATGCAGGTGCATTGTCATGGTTGCAAAACCAAGTTCCCCGTCAGCCACAAGTCAGGCCTTTTTTGTCTCACACTGTTGCACAATCTTTTTCAGAACCTCTAAATAGAAAGCTTGGTTAAAAGTCTGACCTAGTGGAATGAACTCCAAATGCACTACAACTTGACATTTTCATCCATTCAGGGGGTTGACAGGCGTCCAAACTGAGGTTTGTCATCAATGAACATTTCACCTTTTTGAAACAAGAAAACCGCTCATATATTTGAGTTTTTCCCATAGCACTGTCCTTGTAAGCTATGTTCAATATCACAAATTTCTGCAGCACTTTTCCTGAGCAAAAAACCAAAATTTCACAGCCACATAGTTCTCTCAAATTAGCCATCACAAAAAACAAGGTTTGAGCAAAACTGCTTTTCTGAAAAAATTCACTGTGACCAGAGAAAACCTTCCCAGGTGATGCCACTGGGTGCACTAACTCTGTGAGTTTCTGGATACTCGCCTGGTGGGAAAAATGTTTACTATGAAAGCTCTGCCCAGCGGAGTTGTTTCTGGTTTTTGGAGGCACTCCCACATATATTTGTGGTTAATTACACACGGGCAGTGTAGAACTGTAACCTTAGTAAACGTCCAGGGTAACAAGTGATGACATGCAATATGGTTGTCAAGGAGCAGTGCGCCAGCCAGAAGACTGCACGTCAGGGAGCAGTTCCAAGTAGACCGTGGGATAGTGGATCCAGAGGGTGTACAGGGCTGTGGAGAGTACATTGGCCTACCCATTTACTGCTAGCTGTTTGTTCATATTCTGTTCTTTTGAAACTTAACCTCCAATTTCACAATAGTTTGTGAATTTTTTGGTACCTGATTGTAGTTTTAATTTGAATTTCCCTGGTTAATACTGATGTTGTATACTTCCCTCCCCCTTTTTTTGTTTTTAAGATGCACACAATACAAATTGTTGGATTGCATAACATGTGAGTTGTATGCCATTAAAACTTGGGGGGAAATGTGCACAGAAATGTGGAAAATGTGAAAAGTAATTCAGCACAAGGGGGAAAACATAAGACAGAAGAAACTGCCTAAAAGTAGAATCTTTGTACAAGTGTTGAACCAAACTGGATAAGCGATATCCTGGAAAACACTGCATTAGCCAGCACAGGCACCGTGTCCCTCTTGATAGAGGGAGCAAGTTTCCATTTTTATAATAAATTTAAGAAAAATGAGATATATATTTTTTTCTGTATTGAGGCAATTGTGACACAGTGTAGAATCGCCACTGGCAATAAATTAATGAGGACAATAGTCATAAATGAACTCTTTGGTAAAATACACATATAATCCTTCCTTCACACATAATCACAGTGGAGGTTTTCTACCAAAAAGTAATAGTCAATCTTATATGGGAAAAAAGGCCAGGTTAGTGGGAGGACTTGCCTAAACAACCTTTTACATAGTAGTGGCCTCAAGGCACTAAGGTTTAAAAGCTTGTCTAGCAGGATATGGGAGTGGCGTTAAGACAGTCCCAGGATCTCTGTTCAGAAATCCGTGCTTGGGAAAGAATATCGTATTTCAACTCAAGCTCTGGAATATACAGCTAGCCTCAGGGGCTGTATTTTAACTTCATGGATCTGTAAAATCTTAGCGCTATTTCAAATGGTATGCAGTACCCAACATCTAAGAATACGATCATCTGACTAGAAAAATCCAGAAATGGAGGCAGAAATATCAACAGGGTCCTGGAGGCAATAGGGTCTAAACTCGAGGTACTTCTGAACTTCAGCAATGGCTGGCAGTCTCTGGCACTTGGATTGTTTAAGATGTGGACAGAGGGCCCTGATCTGCCATGTGCTTGCTACAAACATTCGATTTTGTGTGTACATTAATTAGCAGTTAAGTCTGTTAGTTTATAAATAAAGTTCTCAATATTCAACCACTAGTTTCCACAAATTTATCAGGCAACATGCCAATCGTTTCCTGTGGGCAGTGACAGGAAGTGCTCCATTTGTAATACTCCAGCCACGTAGCAAAGTCCCCTAGAGCCTCTAACAATGTTCTGTATGTGGTATTTGCAGCCCTGTTTCTTCCTCGCTCTCCATCCTGACTTAACTTTTGGAATCAGTACTGAGTTTAATGGTTGGTGGACCCCTGGGATAGATATTTTATGGCTATTACTTCTTTTGCTAGTGTAGTCTGTATAATTCTCTAGAGGCAGACACTATTTAGGACAGTGGTTCTCAACCTGTGGGTCGCGACCCCTGTGGAGGGTTGAATGACCCTTTCACCAGGGTCGCCTGATTCATAACAGTAGCAAAATTAGTTATGAAGTAGCAACGAAAATAATTTTATGGTTAGGGGTCACTACATGAGGAACTGTATTAAAGGATCACAGCAGTAGGAAGGTTGAGAACCACTCATTAAGGATAAAAGCTGAACAGAGATTACATTTAAGGTTCTCTAGGAAAGGAATTTCAACCAATCATTTTCCTCATCTAACTCACACTCCCACCCACTTCACATGTATTGGTTCTTGACTAAGGGTCAGAGGCAAACACTGGTTTGTTTTAACCCCAGATTTACCTAGGTGCCATTATGCTGCTTTGAGAAAAGGGCCTCATATAGATCAAGAATGAAGTCAAACAGATCAGGTGTGGTTACAGCACAACCCACCTTCAGCAAAATTGAGTGCACAGAATGGTGTTTCTCAAACTTCGGGTGCAATAGCAGCAAATCACGAGGAGCTTGTTAAAAATACGGATGCCTTAGCTGTGATTCTGCGTCAGTTCAATCTAGGACATAGCCTAGGTACCTGCATTGCTTTTTCTTTCTTTTAAGCAAAAGGGAAGAAATTTATTGGAGCCCATACGGGAAACCCTAGAGGGGCCCAGCATCCCCTACTGTATAGGCATGCCCAGCAAAGGGTCACACCATTTAATGTACCTCCATGTCCCAGAGGGACTCCCCTTGAGCAGAGCCCCAAAGCCCCAGGACTGGCTGGGGGTGGCGACGGTACCTCCCATTTCTAAGAGGCACCTTCGCAGCCCCACCCGATACTCAAATGCAGGCAGACTCCAACTGCAGCTTTGAGAACTCCTAAGGCAGCGATAGAGAGTAAGACCTGAGAGAAAATGAATCATGCACACAGCAAGCCAGCAGACCCAGGGCCTCACTATAGCACACACCATTGGATAAAACCCAACCAATTCCCATCAGAGTTGATGCTGACTCAGCAATTCTACAGAACAGGGCAGAACTGCCCCTGTAACTCTATGGGGGTAGAAAATCCCTTCTTTCTCCTGGGTGGCTAGTAGTTTGAAACTGCTGATCTTGCAAATCGCGGACCCACCTGTAACCCCTCCGCCACCAGGGCTCCTCACCTGTGGAAAATAACTTCTCAAAATGAAGCAAGTGAACATACATCCCCAACCACCTATGCGCGGCTGTTTGTTAACAGCCACTCCCACTCCGGTTTTCTGCTCAGAGGAGATACATACCAGCGATTCCAATGTTAGGTGCCATTGGCTCTGACCCAGTGACCTCTACACAACAGAACAAACCACTGCAGTCTCGAGTCCATTGCTGCAGCCACTGCTTCCATCCATCTTATTGAGGGCCTTCCCTCTTTACCCAGCATGCTGTCCTTCTTCTGGGACTGGTCTCTCCTGACAGCTGATGGACAACTGGGGCATCATGGTTCTCATGTGTATTAAATAAAGACAGTGTTTCTGGAGTCAGTGGTTTTTTTCAGATATGCAATTTTATTTCCTTGGCCTGGCAGCATACATTTCAATGTACAAGAACTTGCAGCTGACAGAACCAACACAGGCTTCCCCCAACAGGAAGGACCCTCTTCATTAGCTGAGATGATTGAAATGTCGTGTCGGAATGCAATTCCTGCTCCCCGCCCCCACCCCACATAACCCCTAAAGTGGAAAGATCAGAATCAACAGATCCCACAAATTACTAAAGTCATCCCCCCACACTTATCTAACTAGCAGCTGCGATGGCTGAGAACCACGAGAGGGAAGCAGCTGGCCTTCACTTAGCCTTCGTGTGTGCGTGCGACTGAAGGGACAGGGGACATCAAGCAGGAAGGGAGCAAGAATTCTGGATGAGTGGGAGGTGTACACAGTCTAGTCTTGCCTCCTATCTGCCACTTCAATGCATAAAACATCTCTGTCCCTTGAACGTGGAGCCAGGTTTGGGGCATGCTAGAGAAGTGGCTTCAGCTTGGAGGTGGAAATGTCTGCAGCTCAGAAGGTCCACAGGAGATGTGGGCTAAGGGGCACTGGAGAGAGAGAGCAGACTAAGAGATGGTTCAGGCTCAGTCAATTCCAGTTTAATGTTACCTAAAACTCTCTTCACAAATCTTCCTTTTCCACAAGGGAAAAGAGCAGCACTCACCACCACGAGGGGGTGATGTGTGCGATGCTGAATGGACTGATGTGGAAGTATGGAGATGAGAAAGATCCGGAGGTATTATGCATTTAAATATAGTGTGTTTTTCTTTTGGTCCCCAGGAATGGTCCACGACCAGTAGTCCAAAAACATTCCCACCCTCTCTCCCCTGCCATGCGGTGCAAGTGTCAAAAATAGAATCTCTGCCCAAAGAGAAGGGAGAACAGGAAGATGCTGCTGGACCACAATCCTCTCTGGCCCCAAATGGTATACCTCTAAGAAATTATGAAAAAAAAAATCAATTTCCAGCAATGCTGTGGCTATGTCATCCCCATGAGTCTATCAAAGTCAACCCAACAGCTGGTCCTGACATGCTTTCCCCCGGGCCAAGGAAGCAGCAAAATACATCAATTGAGCATGTGAAAATATGACGGCATGTGCAGTGTAGTGTTTCCAGGTGTCTTGGCCTTCTGTCTCCTTATGGTGGGAGCTCTTCGTCCTCCCCCAAGTTCCACACACACCCCTCTCCCTAACCCCCAAGTCCAGACGCTCCCATCTGCTGGGCTTCCTTCACTCACTTCCCATAGACACTCTCGTCGCTGTAGGCCACATACAGAAAATAGTCTTCCTCATGGTTGTCCTAGGACAAGATAGAGGATGACAGCTTAGAAGACATTCACAGTCATTACCTCGGATTCTCAGCTGCACGCTACCTTATAATACGGGCACAGAAGGTATAATTAGCCAGTGTATGAAAGGAACAAAGAATAAGCATAGTGGCTGGAGTTAACCTTGGACCTCTGAATTCATTAACAAGAAGCCTTCATAGAGAACTTAATACACCTATGCACGAGGGATCATATGAAGATGACAGGGTATTTAGCCCTTACTATTAAGAAGCTGACCCTAGAACTTCTATCCCTGGATATGCACCCAAGTAACTACAAAAAGGTTCTCAAACAAACGCATGTACATATGCATGAACATACCATTATTAATCACAATGGCCAAAAAGTAATAAAAGCCCAATTGTCTAGCAATGGGTGAATGGACAAAATGTGGTATATAATTAAGTGGACAATGAAGTATTATTCAGCCATTAAAAGATATGACGTTCTGATATAGGTGAACATGGATGAAGCTCAAAAACATTATGCTATGTGGAAAAAGCTACATATTATGATTTAATTTATATGAACAATCTAAAATAGCTAAATCCAAAGACAGATGCAGATTCTGTGGTTGCCAGAAGCTTGAAAGAGGGTGACGAGGAGCACGTGCTTAAAGGGAATGGGTTTCTTTGGGGAAAATGACATTGAGAAACAGTAAATGGCACTGAAGTGTAAAAAGAAACAGTAAAATGCACTTTACAAATGGTTCCATGGACAGCGCGTCCATTTTAGCTCAGTAAGTTAGAAGATTAAGAGTCCCCCAAAATCTAAGTGCTTCGATAAAATTAAGAGTTCCCAACCTGCAACTGTTGGAATCCATATAAGGTGGAAACATGCCTGAGAAAAAAAGTTCAAAGTAAACTGACATTAACATGAATGAGGAAAGTAAGCGAGACTGGAAACTTGCTCTCATCGGTTTCACTGTGTAATTCACTAACGGTGCACTTTGAGGAAGCAACAGCTCGTGTAAATCCTTTAACAAACAATAAAGTTATAAGCGTAGGTTATACTTCCAGCAAAATAATGTTTCTGATTAGTGTTCTTGGAATAGATTTTGATAGTTTAACAATGAAGCAAAATAAAATCCCGAGTTATGTCCCCCAACTGAGTTATCTGCTAAGACAGTTTCATTAATTCTACATTCAGAGAGTGCCCAGAAATGGGGAATCTTCGCTCTACTCCTGGAAGAAAAGCTTCTCTTGTTTTGAGTCTATATGGATGTTTCAAGCCTGAATGATAGCATTCATAGATGCAGCTACATTTTGAGGCAAAACTATCAGCAACTAAAGAGATTGGCTTCACAGACAAAAGGTGCTAGCTTTATTATTACTAAACAGGGATCAAATAAACTGGAACCTAAATGCATAAATCAATGGCAAGTTATAAGAACACTGGGAAGAGGACTTGGATTTTTTGGAACCAGGTTCATTTCCTGAAATAGAGAGAAACCAACATGGGCACACCACAGTATGGCAGGAACGAGAAGAGACTGTAAAAGGATTGGAACTCGCAGGCTGCTCAATCCCTAAAGGGCAGGCAATATCTAATCTCCAGTCTTACACTGGCCTGTGTAAAAGGATCCAGATAAATAACACCTCCTGCCCCACTTCCCAGGTGTGCTGTCAACAACGGAAACAAGAGCAGAGCACACCGGACTGTGCCGTATTATTGTGCCTGGGGCGATTACCTCATACAGCTGGCCCATGGTGGCACTAGTGGGAGGGATAGTGTTGTTCACAAAGAAGAATAGGGCGTCCTCAGGTCGCAGGTGGATCCTCTTCCGGATTAAGAAATAAAACTGGCCAACTGGATAAAGGAAGGAAAAGGATTTTAAAAAGAAATGCAAGTAAGGGAAGAAAAAGGGGTTACAGGAAGGATACGTGTCACGGGGGCAAAAAGTCTACTTGACATGTTCTCTTTGAAGTACTAGTTTTCTATCCATCTGTGTATAACTCAAAACTTTTTCTAGTTCTTTAGAAATACAAAGAATAAAGACATCAGTTGATTGAAAATTCTTTTTCACCCTTTTTACTCTATTGTGGAGCTAATGCTAGCATATCCACCCAAGATCTTTGAAGCACTTTGAAGGGCTATAGCGCCATTGTTTGGATAACTGAAAATCCACACACCTACCTTGACACAAAAGAGAATGCTGGAGAGAGGTCCATGAGCATGGTAAACCCATCCCAGTGATGGGGCAATGGGGCTCAAGACATTATTATTTTCTGAGAAACTTGAAAATGTTCTAGAAGGTTGACAACTAAATCTATGAACTCTGCAGCACCCTAACCACATAATATTTCTAAACTATTCTGAACACAAGAGTGTGTATATGCCAGTAAAGATCAGGACTCAAGGTAAAGACATTAAAAGAACATATTCTTTATAATCCCTAACAGAATCAACAGAATGTATTACAAAAAATTCTAGCTTGAAAAGAAAGGCATTCAGCTGAGTCTCTGAAATGTGATCAGCCCAAAGAATGAAGTCTGGCTCTCCTTTGGAAATCAACTATCACCACACTCAGATATCTTGAGAAGTGGTTTAAAAATGGACACCTGACCTTTCAATATTTTACTATCTGCTAAACACTATGATGGGAAATGCTTGAGGGAACTGGTGATAGGCTGAGAACAATTGTTTCTTTCATTTAAAAAATAAACTTTCTGGAGAACCTCAGTTCAAGTCTATATAGGTCCTCAGTCTCAAACTCCCAGGCGTGTTCCAGGAGCGAGACTGCTTCTCCACAACAGGGAGTGTTAGGGGTCAGGGAAGGACATTACCAGTGAGGTCAGAGGGCACAAGGTACTTCCTCTTGTCCAGATCAGGCACCCTGGCTTTCGGTGCCTTCTCCACGATCACCTAGGAGAGAGGAGGGAACTTCAGAATCCAAACTAACATTTTCCTCCGCAGCCTATTAGAAGAAACATATCTCATTTGTTCCCATTCCTTACAAAACACATGGGAAAATGGGTTTCCCTACTGAGCTTTGTTTATAGTTTTACTACCAGAGGAAGAAGATAATGTGATAAAAATAGACCTTGATCCCAAGAAATTACAAACTACATGGAAGTTATGTGTAAGCATGTATTCGGGTATTTTAATTAGAGCATCAAGACTGGATTGATTGGGGTCCTGACCCCAATTAGTCTCCTTTCTCTTAGATGTTCTTTATTAAAGTTTCAAATAAGGTGATTTTGAATTTATATAGTGTCAAATGTCTTAAGAATGAGTATGAAGTACCTCTATTTGTGTGATCTTTACTGACTTCCCAAACCCCGGAGCACTAACATTTTCATGAGCAAAAGGAAGGTAACTCTCTAGACATGTTTTCAAAAGTCTTGGTACTGTTATCAATGTGAACTTGAGTAACATAAAAACCTTTATAAGAAAATACTTTACAAATTACAATGAATGAATGTAAACTTACAGACTAACATGGAGAATGAGACTGGCCACTTTTAAAATAAAAAGGGACAGTGAAAATGTTTGTTGATGGAGAAAATGCATCCATCAGAAATACCAAAAGGCCATGATGAAATTGAACTATGGATTGTTATATCTGTAAAAGCTCCCAATCAAATGATTAAAAATTTAAAAAAAGAAACAGGGTTAGAGATGAATCAGAAATTTAAAAGAACTTAGAAGAACTGTGCAAATAGCTCATTGAAGGTCAACACAGGATGAGCAGAGGTGCCGCACGTCCAGTGGATTCCCACTCGTAATAAAAAAGGATAGACTCATTAAAAAAAAAGGGGAGGGGGACTGCCCTTGTGGGTGTGTGAGACTAACTTTACAATGGAGTAGAAAGCCTCATCTTTCTCCAGTGGAGCTGGTTGGTTTCAAACTGCTGACTGTATGGTTATACTATCAGGGTAAAGGTAGCAGAGTTAAAATCTAACACCTAAAAAAATAAAAATCTAACATCTAAGAGAAAAAGGAACTGAGAGACCGGGTGCCAGCTCATATCAAGAGATGAAAACCACAGGTAAGGAGGGGGGTGTTGAGGGTGAGGGGAGGGGGGGCAGTAAAAAGAACAGTTATATAGGCTATAAGTAAGGCAATTGGGGATTTGAATAACTGCAGGTCAGAGGTCCAAATGGCCCAGCACCTGAGTCAGAGAAAGATGTGGCATTTGGCTCCTATAGATTTACAACCTTGGAAATAGTGCGTAGTGCCACTCGGTCCTGGAGAATCATTGTGAGTTGGAATCAACAAGACGGCTGTGGTGACAGGGATTTGAAGGATGGGGGGGGGTGGGGAATAACCATTAAGGCCTTCCTTGGTTCACCAAAGAGTTTCGGGGCTTCCAGGAATCCCAACTCTAGTGTTCACTTACAGTGGGTTTTTGGGCTACAGGATCTGCCTCCTTAGGTCTCAGCTTCCTTGTCTAGGTGGCTTCCACATGCTACTTATGGAGGGAGAAAAACCCATCCCTAGCAGTTTTTTGCCATGGGGTAAAATTTTCAATACCTTGTAGCTATTAATATAATTTTAAGATGCCATGAGCTCCTTCTTGCCCAAGCCTCAAACTTGTTCTTTTAGATGGTAGCGCTAAAGGAATATTGATTAGGGCTAAATTCAGATTACTTCAGCAGAGTAAAAAGATTGCTTTAAACACAGTAATGGGCCAGCTGGAGAGAGCACAGAAACTACTGACATTTTCCATAAACGAGGGCACTTTATCATGGTGCAATTAAAGGTTCTGCCTAAGGGCAGAGGGAAAGTCCTGGATACAAAATTCTAGAACTAAAACCACACAATCTTTTCCCTGAATCTCCACTATAGGACACAGGGTCACAGGCAGAGAACACAAGTAGTCAGAGGCTCATTCCTGGTTAAACTGTAACTGGGAATCACGAGAAATAATGGCTTACAAATTACCTGTTGTGCAAGAAAATAATAGGGGAAGCTAGGAGAATATTCTGATGCATGCATACAAATAAATGAAGTGGAAAGGACAAAATTTGTGGGTGCAGGGTAATTTATAGAATATGTTGGAAGTTTTACTAGATATAGGAAGAGGTAAATTGCAGGTTTGGAGGTAAAGCTACTGCCAAAGGGCCCAATATTTTGCCAAGTTATAAATCAATGGGGACCAGTGCTTACTAAATTACTTTTCTGGCACCTTACTAACTAGACCATGGGAAACCTCTGAGCGCAGCAACAGTTCATTTCCAATACTAGTGAAAGACAAATAATATGCACTTAATTCTGGTCATAGGGGCTGCAGCAGAAAGGGCCAGGAATCTATGAACGCATGCGGGTGAACCTGGAATTCAGTTTAGCCACACCATCAACACCTCATGTCTCTGCTTCAGGTTTAACTGGATGGGATAGAGAACACTTACAATTGTGCTAGGCACAGGATGAGGGATCAGTAAATATTAGCTCATTTACAAATATTAGTTCTAAGGAGTGGGAATAGGTCCCACCAGAACTGGGGGAAGCCTTTCAAAGTCATCCAAGGTCCAGATACCCTGAAAATAAAGAATATTTTACTGGATAACAAGGCTTTGTTATCCAATAAAGAATTGGATAATCAAGCTAGTTTCCCTTTTCAGACCCAAATCCCTTTTGTGTGTAATTCCTGGGGATTAAGGCGGCTCTAATGACAAAGAAACAAAAGGGATTTAAACTCTGGCCCAAGGCTATGCCAACTCTGGTAGCTGTTGGGAGCAATGGTTCCGGAGGCCCAGGTGTAACTGTGAGTCAAGATGGGATCATTGCAATTCCTTTACCTATTACGTTTACAATCCCTTTAGCCCTGACCTTACGTGGAAACCTGCCTGATGATAATAAACACAAATGTAAGGTGACCCACTGGCCCTCCATCTCCAAAGCGCCCCAGCGGCTGCTCTCTCTAACTCAGACTTCAGGCTTGGCTTCCATTCTGCCTGCGCAGCCTAGAGGGAAAGCAAGCAAGTGGGCGGGGGAGGGGGAAACGGAAAAACGCCCGGATGCTGAAAGGTGCCTTAGTGATTTCTCTTTCCCTCCTGCACATAAATCTGGGGCCAAAAGAGCAAAGTGGCTTCGGTCTGTCTTGCGTCCGGCGACGATCTGTCCGATCAGATCTGCTAAGCGCTCGGGGAAGCTGGCCGTTCCAATAACACCAGGCTCTGGCGCCAAGGAGGATGAAGCCAGCGGGCCGTGGCGCATTGAACGTGACCTTGCTTTCTGGGCCGGGCAGTCTCGTGGCGCCCTCCGCCCCCAGCGCTGGAGGAACACAAGACACAGCCACCCGGCTGGCCGTCGTGCTCCTTCCAAGCGCAGTGACGGCACCAGGTCGGCGAGGACGGGTCTACAGGAAAAGCGACCGGAGCAGGAGCCGACAGGAGCCCAGGCCGGCGCTCCCACGCGCCGTCCCCATGCGTCCTTCGCCCGTCGCCACGCCGGGCCCCCAACCTCAGCCCCTCGCGTGGAGAGGCCACAGCTTCGGAGACTGCTGAGTCACTCCGACAGGGGCTCCGCTCCAAAGAGGCTGCCGAGATGGCAACCGGGCTGGGGACCGGGCTTTCTTGCCAAAGGGCCGCCGGCTCCCGCTGCGCCGGCTCCGGGGCTAGCGAGGGACTTGGGGGATGCGGACGTCATAGGAGCCCCCCTTCTCTCCAGCCCTCTCTTCCCCAGGGCAGCCATCACGACTCGCCACCCCCCACCCCCAGCCCCACCCCGTTCCTGTCACACTCACAGGGACCCTGTCCGGGTATTTCTTCCGGATCTTTTCGCCTTCCTTTTTCCGATATTCAAAGGGGTGGTCCTCCTTATACTGGAACTTCATGATGGACCGCAGGGTTTCCAAAATCCCCGGACGGGGCCTGCCTGCCTCGCTGACGGTGGAAGCCGTCTCTCGCGTCCTCTCCGCTCCGGTGGTGGCCGCAAAAGCCCTTCCGAAATGCCCGCAGCGGTCGCGGCACGACCAGACAGAGCGTTCAGAAGGACCCCCGGGTCCCCTCGCCGGGAAGCAGGAAAAGATCGCGTAGAGCAATCGCCACAGCTATTCCCCGGAGCCGGGAGCACAAAAACAACACGGGACGCATTGGCATTGTGACGTCACGAAGCCCCGCCCCGGCGAGACCAACATTGCGAGACGGGGGGGGCAAGCGCCTTGTCTATTCCTTGTCGATTCCAGTATGCTTTCATTCTCTCTCGACCTCTCTTATGGATGTCCCACTGCAACCAGCGGAGTGTTTTCATGTTATTTAATTGTTTAGATGACATTGACATTCATTTAAAAGCAAAAAATACTTGTTCTGGAAATGCCTTCTTTCCCTCTCCTCTTGGTTGGTCCTCAAAACAAATACAAAGAGGTCAAAATCTAGCCTTTTCCAGCTCATTGTTATCTGGAATTTGTAAGGGGTTAAAAAGGAATGAAGTACTTGAGACCATTTGTGACTAGTGTAGAGACATCCCTTGTTTGCATCGTGTCCTTTGTCCATTTAGTTGCCCCAGCCAGGCTTCTCAGGTGCGAGCCTGTCCGCCTGTCACCTTAATCCTCCTTCCCCAGGCTCAAGTCACTTTTGTTTGGGTCCGTGCTGTACTTTGCTCCCAGGGCAGTAGCATAAACAGAGCATGACTCAGGAATTTGAAGAGCTGTGTAAGGTGAAGGGCATGAAGTGCAATAAGGATTCAGAGAAGAAGTGATGTCCGTGATGACTACACGTGTGCAAATGATTCACTTTGCTACTATTGGCCCAGAAGTTGGCCTTGGCTTCTGGAAAACAAGACTGACCATGTTAGTGTTGTGGCCATTGAGTTTGGTCATTTCAACTTACAGAGCCCCCAAAGGAAAGAGTGTTTCCTTGGCTGCGAGGAAGCAAATGGCCAGGTCTTCTCTGTTGCACAAACGGAGAAATTCTCGGTTAGCAGCCAGGTTCTTAACCCTTGGTAACTTTGGCAGCCTACCTAGAAACTTCTGATTCTGCTGAAAAGGTTATTTGATCTTTGGGTCAAAGTTTAACTGCTCATAAAACATGAGGATAATAGTCAGAATTTCTGGTTTAGATAAGGAATTGTTTGTTGAAGGTGCCTGTTTTGAATACCTTTCTCATAAGTGTCCTCCCAACCTTCCCATCTCTTCCTATCCTCCAGGTTAGGAAATAGGATTGGAGTGGGAAATGCTAATAAAACAAAGCATGTAACCAGGGCAGACAGTCCTGATTTTCAGATCACCTGAAATTAGACTTAACTTTCAATCACTGAGAACTTGGGCTAGATTCCTGTTGAATTTGTCACTACGTTGGTAATTAACATAGGGTAAGCTTGTTACTTTAAGACAAAGGAAGAATTGGAAGAGCTGTGGCAATAAGGTGGAAAAATTCCTAGCATGTTTTCTCAAGTAAGTCTCAGGAATAACCTCAGAATGTAACAAATGGCTTATTGATGTTAAAATGTGAGAGCTGGCAGTTTAAAAAGCCCTTGGTAAATTCTGCTGTTTCTTCCCCCACTCTGTGCCCACCTTTGACCTGCTAAAAACTACTTTCTCGCTCTGCTGATTTCAACTCAAGTTCTTTTGACAAAATCACAAGTTTCTCTCACGTTGCAGCATTCTACCTGAATATTTACCTCCTTTGGGGGAATATTGGAACTTGAATTCTGAGCATTGGGTTTACAGAGGATTGTCATTTACAGTAAACCAAACCAAACTCAGGGCCATTGAGTTGATTCTGATTCATACCAACCCCATGAATAGCCCCTGCAGGGGTGGGAGGCTGTACATCTTTACAGAAGAAGTAATGGTGATTTCAAACTGCTCATCTGTGGTCAGCAGTTCTAATCATAACTTCTGCACTCCCAAGTCTCCTGCAGTCCTCCATAAGTATCCTCTCCTTCCCTTCTGCCCATCTCATGAATTGGCTTACTTGCTACAGGCTGCTCAAGTCACCCCCTTGGTGTCAACAAATCTAGCTTCCATAGAGTTATTTCTGATTCTTGCCATGCAATGTGAAAAGTTTGCCCTCAGGTAAAATACGTCAGGACTTCTGGCGGCATAGTTGGGCTGCTAACCCAAAGGTCAGCAGTTCTAAACAACCTGTAGCTATGAGGGAGGCTTTCTGCTTCCTTAAAGATTTTACAGTATCAGAAACCCACAGGGGCAGACCCACTTTGCCCTATACCGTTGCTATGAGTCAGAATTCACTTCCTGACAGTGAGTTTGTTTTTTGGAGAACAAGTTTATAAATGGATTAATACCCCAATGAACACACTCAACATATCTGAAATAGAAAGAACTCCAGGAAAAACTCAAGTCTTAAATTGCAATGTCAAAGTGTTCTAGAGGTAAAATACTGAGTGATATAGGAAGCATCAAGAGAAGATGGAAAGAATACACAGTCACTGTACCAAAAAAAAAAAAATAAACAGTTGACAGGGTACCATTTCAGCAGGTAGCATATGATCAAGAACCAGTGGTACTGAAGGAAGAAAATTCAAATTTCACTGAATGCATTAGCCAAAAACAGGCTCCAGGGATTGAAGGAATACCCATTCAAATGTTTCAGAAAGCTGAAGAAGCACTGGAAACACTCCTCTATGCCAGGATATATGGAAGATACCTTCTTGGCCAACTGACTGTAAAAGATCCATATTTGTGCCCATCCCAAAGAAAGGTGGCCCAACAGAATGCTCAAACATTGATCTTGCACACAAGTAAAATTTTGCCTATGATCATCCAACAGTGGTTTAAGCAGCACATTGTCAGGCAACTGCCAGAAGTTCAGGCTGGATTCAGAAGAAGATATGGAACAAAGGAGACCAGGCTGATAGCACATGGATCGTGGCTCAAAGCATAGAATGCCAGAAAGCTGTTTACTTTTGCTTCATTGACTATGCAAAGGCACTCGACTGTGTGGACCATAATAGACTGTGGATCGCCTGGAGAAGGATGGGAATTCTGGAAACCTTCATTGTGCTCATACTAAACATGTACACAGATCAACAGGCAGTTTGGTAAACAGAGCAGGGGACTACTGGATAGTTTAAAATCAGGAAAGGTGGTGTCAGGTTGTAACCTTTCACCATATTTATTCAATCTGTATGCTGAGCAAATAATCTGAGAAGTTGGATTATATGACAATAATTCAGCATCAGGATTGCAGGAAGATTTATAAAAAACCTGTGAAATGAAGATGGTACAACCTTGCTTGCTGATAGTGAGGAGGACTTGAAGCACTTGCTGATGAAGATCAAGGATTGTAGCCTTCAGTGTGGATTACATCTCAATGTAAAGAAGATCCAAATCCTCACAACTGGGCCAATAGGTAACATCATGATAAATGGGGAAAATATTGAAGTTATCAAGGATTTAGTCAATGCTCACAGAAGCAGTCGTCAAGGGATCAAAAGGTGAGATACATGGGTAAATCTGCTGTACATGGCCTCTTTCGAGTATTGGAAAGCAAGGTTGTTACTTTGAGGTGCAATTGACTCTAGCCATGGTATTTTCAGCCACCTCTTATGCATGTGAAAGTTGGATATTGAATAAGGAAGACTGAAGAAAAATCAATACATTTGAATTATGGTGCTTGGAAAGAATACTGAAACTACCATGGACTGCCAAAAGAGCAAATACATCTGTCTTGGAAGAAGTACAGCCAGCATGCTCCTTCAAGGCAAGGACCATGAGACTTTGCCTCACATACTTTGGACATGTTTTCAGAAGAGGCCAGCCCCTAGAAAGTGACATCATGCATGACAAAATAGATGGGCAGTGAAAAAGAGGAAAGCACTCAACAAGACACATTGACACAGTAGCTGCAACAATGGACTGAAACATAGAACGACTGTGAGGATGTGTGATGCAGGATGGGGCGGTGTTTTGTTCTGTTGTCCACAGGGTTGCTATGAGTCAGCACTGACTTAACTGCACTGAACAATCACACCAACAGCCCTGGATTGCTCATTGGACTCTGACAGACATGGCATTAATAACTTCTCAGTCCATTTCCCACATCTCTATTTTCTTTGCCTCGGATGCTGACTACAATTTTGTTTTCCCTCACTATGATAACTTCATGATGATTTCTCCTTAAGACAGTCATACCCAATTCTCTTGGTCAGAGTGCCTGATCCAAACTTGTAAGCTTTTCTAATCTGCAGCCATGGTCCCTTGTGTGCCTTTATAGTCCTGCTGGCATCTGTGATGAATGGATCTGGTGTCCATCATTAGTGTGTGACCATTTCCTCTGTTCTCTATGTCCTATGTGCATGGCCATGAGACTGTGACTCCTTTGACACCATTATGGCCACACATTAATGGTCTCAGAAACAGGTGTGGACAAATAAGACTAGAAAGTTCAAGTTGCATTAAGGCATTTATTAAAGAATGACAACTTGCAGGAGAGACTTACAGGGGAGATGCCATAGGCAGGAGGTTCTCTTCAAGCTTACAAAGTAAACAGTATTTTGTGGGGCTATTAACTTAGTCAAGAATTGGTGTGTCAGTGGTCAAAACAGTGTGGTACTGGCATAGCGACAGATATTCAGAATAATGGAAAAGTGCTGAAGACCCAGAAATAAAAACGTCATCATACAGGCAACTGGTTTTCAATAAGGGCCCAAAAAATATCAAATGGGAAGTGGATACCCTCTTTAATAAGTGGTTCTCAAAAAAATGGATACCTACCTGCAGAAAAATGAAGCAAGACCCTTACTTCACTCCATGCACAAGAATAAACTTGAGGTGGATCACAGACCTTGAGGTAAAGCCCCAAACAATTAGAGCCATTAATGAGGGAATTGGGACAAACCTGAGAACCTTGGCACAGGGAATACATAGGCTATCAGAAATGGGTAAGGATACAAATATAGGGAAGGATACAAATACAGAGGAGTCACAAATTGGCAAATAGGATATACTAAAGATAAATCACCTGTGTACATCAAAAGAACTCACCAAGAATGTAATAAGAGAGCCCACAGACTGGGAAAACATCTTTAGCAATGACACATCAGACAAAGGCCTTATTACTACCCTATTTCCCCGAAAGGTAAGACATCCCCCGAAAATAAAAC